AGGTTTGTTCTTAAATGTTAATCTTTGGTGCTCATCTAACTACTTTAGTCTTGCCTTTGCTGATTCCTTGTTTTTTTTTTATTTTGTACATCAATTATAATATTTATCTTGCTGTTTCTGAAACTTTGTTGCTCTAGGCTTATTGTTGCTGGTTTTCCGCTATTGATCTTATTTCGTTCATCGATTTTTATGTGATGTAGCACTTTAGCCACACCAATTATTACTCAATATTACCCAGCTTCCTTCAATGACTTCACTAGGCGTCATTCACAGACGAGCTTGGCAAGGTATGCGCTTTTCTCCCTGACATTTATTTCTTAGATATAGGTGTTCCACTTGCTACAGTTAAATTGACAATTAAACAAATATACCTGAGCATAGCCAAGCAACACTGGGTTGATGAACTTCATTGTCAGATATTTATGATATGACTTGGTCTAATTTGTCAGCTATTTCAACTAAAGCAAAACCTGCTCAGCACAACGGTATCTCTGCTGACATGTTTGAGACTGAGTCTACCTTATAAAAACTTTTGTCGCGACTGTGGTTCTGAGTAGACCGTGCTTCATCTTATGTGTCAGCGCCTCTCTTTAGCTAGGAGAAGATCAAAAATCTTCGTCGCCCCTTTTCTTACCGACCTAATGGAACTGTCATCTTGTAATATTAGGGACTTACCCAAATTCATAGAACTGTAAAACTGTTGGTTTTACTTTACCTAATGAGGGAGTCGTTACCTTTTTTGGCGTTGCTCGTACAGTGATCTTTTAATCTATGTATGCGCCAATGCTATTCCTGTGGTACCACAATGGGTCATTGTTTGAGCTCAAGTAGGCTTTTTGGAAAGAAGGCCACCACTCAAACCTGCTTACCTAAATTATAATTATTCCAATAAAAATTAAATTATAAATTTTATACAAAAATACAAAAAATTAAGTTTGTATGAGTTCTTAAGACATCCTTTTTGAGAATTAGAAACCTCTTATCTTCTTATTATATTTCATAATCATTTCACACTTTTGAGCTTCTGTATTTTTTAATTTTATTTATTACATATATTTTTTTTATTGTATTTATTATTTCCTATAAATATATTTAATAAAAACAATGAGTAATAGAAAATGAAAAATATTTAATTTTTTTAACATATTTGCATCTCAGCTGTTGATTGTTTAGCACATTTCCGTTTGTCTCAGACTCGCTACCTCTTTTTTATAAAACAATTTGCTTGATTTCCTTGAGACTAGAAAAAACTTAAATGTCGATAAATATTGAAATAAATTAATTCAAAATAAATTATTAAGTTTAAAAAAAAATATACTGAAATTAACAGACAAAAACAAATAAATCTTGTCGTGGAGAGTGCATATATTTCATAATAATATTTTTCAAATGTAAATATGTGATTTAATATTTCATTTTTTTTTAATATTATAATTCAAAAATAATTATTATAGTGTATAAGCAGTATTCGAAATCAGCACTGATTCCTTAAGGAGCATAAACCACCTTCAAAAGTTTACATAGATCCATATACCAGTCACCGAAGTGGTGTGACAAGGTATTTTTAGGGTATCCTTTGCAGCACATTAACCTTAAACGTTTCGTGTTGATATTATATGCTTTAGAGTTAGGAAATCAACGATCGTTAAAAGCACAAAAAAGATACTTAGAGAGACTCACTGCCTATTTAAATGCTATTTTTTACTGGTAAGCTTCTTGGAAGTTCTTGGCATACCATGTATGCTGTACCATCCATCTTAATATAAACGCACAGATTCACTGTATAGTCTAAGAATTCGAATATGTCGTAATGGTTTAAACAGTAAACCACGGTTTTCATTTTTTTTCATGAGAAGCAAAAAGTGAATAGTCAGGCTTCATGTGGAGAAATAGGGTTCCATCTGAATGAAACGTGTTTAATGAGTGATAATAAAAAACATTAGTAGTAGCGTTTAAACGTCTCGTTCAGAAATAGTACTAAAGAGAGCGCATTATAATTGCACGATCCTGTAGACTAAGTCCGTAGACAGTCAATTTTCAACAAGGAAGCAGTATTAGTCGGCAGAACTAGTACATATGTTTTAAGAATCGATGCTTTAAAAATTCTTCCTGAGTTTTTTTTTTAACGTTTAATTTATAAATATTAAATTCAAATAAAACCTAGTTTTCTGAAAAAAAATTATCATATATGTGGTGGTTAATTAACCTTCTATAATTTTTGATTTATTTAATAAAATTACTGCTTAACGAATTAATAATTTAAATTCATTTCACTTTCACGAATTTCTTCTCAAGATTGAGGGGCGAAAAATACAAGGTGTTTCAACTAATAATTTAAAGCATCCAATATATATATCTGATATAAATGTTTATTTATTAATAGTATTTCAATTGAAATTAATCAAAGAATTCTTACTATGAATACAGCTTTTATTATATATTATAATTCATATAAGTAAATTAATTATTGTGATAATTAAACGACACATATCCAAAACAA